AAAATCCACCGGGCCTGAATGAAAACAACCAATCAGAGCCAAGAAAGATATAAAGAGAATGAAAATGGGTTGGAGAATGAAAAATGGATTGTTGAGTTTTCCAGGGTCCCAAAGTTGACGCTCTTGGAGTGAGACTCAACAATCAGCAATCTTCTTGGCTCTGATTGGTTGTTTTCGTTCAGGCCTGGTGGTTTATTGCAAATACCATCAGGACCACTAGGATGAGCCAGAGAAACCTGATTTTTTCGCAGATAATTGTTGTAATATGTAATGTAGTACTGTCAATGTCAAGTGAAAGTTTTAGCAAATATGACAAAAAGTTATTTTCATAAAGGTTTTTTCAGACATTGTTGTGCAGATAAGGGTCGTTCCCATCTTACTGGCCCTTCTTAAATACTTGGTGGCAGACTTTGTCGAGCACAGTGATTTCCTGAAAGAGAAGAGACAGACTTTTAGACTGCAACTCCAACGTGCAACAGATGCCACTCTTAGTTATGTAATACAGGCAGAGAGAGCTTACAGCTGTTGTTTATAGATAACAATTTATTGTCTTCATTGTTATTGCATAATGATAAGACACAAATCAGTCGGATCTAAATGAGGGTTGGGGCAGATTTCATCATGCAAGTGATAGGGGAAAAAGTTTTTTTCTTATCATTTTTGCAGTGTTAACTTTTACTTTTTTTTATTTAATGTGACCAACTTGAGGAAACAGAATTTGCAAGCTCCTGCTGCAGGTGTGATCTCACAGGAAAATCTCATTTCCTGGCAAATATATGTTGCATGCCAAACAACTCAACAACCCACGAATGTGTCACACTTTCTCTCACCAGGTGTAGCATGTCTCCCTCGATCCACTGCGTCCAGCCACGATTTTCTTTCTCCCCCTTCTGAACACACACCAGCTTGTCTCCGTCCCAGGTAACCAGTGTCTGATATCACCACACAGGCAAGCATCATTGTAACGGTTAGTATTGACAAATAGTGGTAATTATTCCAGCTGCTGTTCATTGAGAGCACTTTCCTTGTTCAATTCAGTTTTAAAATACAAGAAAACTGTCCCACCTTGACCTTCCGGTTGTCCAGCCCCTTTGTGTGCTCCTCAAACTCCACTCCCACGGTGAAGTTGACCTCGTAGTTTCTGAAGGTGCTCAGGGTCTTTGTTTCAAACTTGTCTCCAGTCTGGACAATCATTTTTGTCTGATGCAGGTGGGAGGCTATCTTTCTGGTGGCAAAGTCAATGTCTGCAAGCACAAATACACACAAGTTTGACTTTTTTACTGAAGAAATCCTTTGGTATACATTTACACCAAAAGCAAACATCGGTAGATACACATGACAGCACAGGCCACTTATTAAGATTCCTCTCCTGCTGGTCGTTTTGACAGTCTCATTTCCCCTTTAAAAATGACCTTGCTCCGAGTCAGAATGGGCCTAAATGAGTTTCTCCACCCCGTTCAGCACTGGGCCCTGCCAAAGAGAACCACCCACCCCAACCCTTAAGATATTCATATCCCATTTGCCTTAAAGTGAAAATTCAATTTTCTCCCATCACTCTTACAGATGAGGCCCCTATATTTACCCATCTAAATAATATTTTTGACCCATTTCCATAAGGATGTCATTTTCCTATCAGCTCGATGGAAATGAGGTGCAGGCGCTCAGGATTTCCCGGATTTTGTGTGAGCTGAGTGTACCGGGGTTGTTTTTATGAATTGCAGATAGAGTCGTGAATAATGAAAGTGTTTCTGGGCCTGATCAATGACACGCCTAAAGGAGGAGAGCCCAGCTCTCTCTCTCTTTTTTAAAATGACGAGCTGGCCCGCTGCCTGATCCAGGGACGGAATCTGTCTTCCTTTTCTGCGGATCAGGAGGATGAAAATGCAGAAGGGAGTGAATCAATATTTATTTGGCGTGGTAACAGACGGCAACCGCTCACAGAGTGGAGGTTAAGTTGGCCTGACAGCAGCTCAATGAGGAAATGAAGCAGTGCCACAGTAACCCCCCCACCCCTCCCTTACTTCAGACAGCTGCTCTCTCACTCTTTCTGTCTCACTCATTCCAGATTTTTTGCTCAGGCCTCGCTTGCCTACTTGGCTGCATCTTTAAATTCTTCTAACTGACTTCTGTTTTTAATGAGAGATACAAGTGACAGTCTTTCCTTCTGCTGTATTGTATTCCATTATGCAATAAGTATAGGCGGTAAAAAGCCAACTTACCGAGGGCCTTCATGACTTCCTCAAAGTTGTCGTTGCTCACCATCTCCCACCGTCCATTGTAATCTGCAGGCATTTTGAACTGGTGTATGAGGGGGCAGAAGTCTGCTCTTAGGTTTGTTTGTCACAATGAGGGAGATAGTTCAAGGGCCCAGCCCTTTAAATATACTCTGTGTGTTTGTGTGTGTATGTAGACCAAAGGACAGGGTCCGCCTGATAACTCCCAATGTAAGTGAGTGTGTGTTTGTATACAAAGTTCAAGTTTGGATTGTGCATTAAGAACACACTCCTTTACTGTACACACAATCATTTAATATAAGCTCCTGTGTCTGTGCATTAAGTGTGTGCACACTGATTTAGATGCACTTAAAGAGTGGACTGCATTTTTATTTTTTTTTTCAATCTCCATTTCCTTCCTGCTCATTGAAATGTACCGTAATGGAGGGAAGATGGAGAGCAGCAGAGACTGAGGTGAGTGCTCTCCCTGCACTGAGTTCATCTCTTGAGTCTTTTTTGAGTCTGCAGTTGAGAGATTCCTCTCTGGTTTCATATCAAGGAACAAGTTCAAGGAAATACATTTTGTTGACTCAAATGCAACTCCACAACAGCGTTCACCAGACCGCGAAGTTTAGACTTTTTTTTTTTTTTTGCAGAAATGTCTCTCGAGAGTGTTGACTTCAAGCTCTCTTTAAGAATTAATTCAGGACTCTGTGAGACTGGGTTGAGATAAGACGCCTCTATTTGAATCAGCTGGAGCTACTTTATCAGCAATAGTGTGAGCCTGTGTGCACATATATATACTAATGTTTTTGTGTGTTGATTTATGCACAGTTGCTGGCTGGTTTGTATCGACGTTACAGTTTTACCACTACACCACAATTTATGTTTGAGAAATGTGAAATTGATCTTGAATTGTCACCTAATGGCTCTTTCTGTTCTTTATCTCAGACATCCACAGAGACTGTCTCTCCACAGCAGCCATAATCAATACAGTTTGCTCTCTGGATCCCTTTCAGAGGAGCTGAAGTGCTTTCAGAATGCTGCGGTCATGATATAGTTTCACAACTGCAGCACTACAGTGCTCTATCTGACAGTGACACTCATTTGAAATTGTAGGGATGAGGTTGTATGTGGAGGGTCAAAGGTGAGGCAGGGCGGTGTGTGTCATCGTTTATCAGAGCTGATATGATGCCTGGATTAACAATGACACGTACCTCTCTCCCACGGCCAATGTCTAATTGCACTGCTTCACCTCATTCTACCTCACTTCATTTGTGCAATAACCAATATTGTCTGCAATCAGTATATTCAGCATTTTCCAACTTACTTTCCATCAGATATTGTACATACAGTGGATGACACATGTGGCATCAAATAAGGTGTTGTAGGAGTCAAAAGCAAAATTAAAACTACATGCACTACATGACAGCATGTACCACTAATTGTGACAAACACACAGAGACTTATCACCAATTATGCAGTTCCTCTCTGCTCTACGGAGCATTTTGGCATGCTTCAGTTCATTGTTTTGGTTTTATGGCCCACAACTTTACTGTTTTGGTTCCCTCTCATCAATATTGTTTTCAGCAGCAGCAGCAGCAGGCAGATGTCTTTAGTAAAAAAGCTCTGACAAAACCACTGTACACTACCTACTGAGCACCAAACAGAAGATGGACACAGTTAGCAACTAGCTTGTGAGCAAAGTGGAGCATTTACAGACAAAAACAGAGTTAAAGGTCCAGTGTGTGATATTTAAGAGAATCTATTGGCAGAAATGTAATATAATATCCATAGGTATGTTTTCATTTGTGTATAATCACTTGTCGTTACCATAGAATGAGCCGCTTTATCTACAGAGGGAGAGGATCCTCTTC